TCCCTTCCGCTTCCGGTACCTTCCCCGGTGTTCTCCATCCCTCAGGAATCGGCACAGCTCGGTCTCTGCCATGAAGCGTCCCTTCGTCCTCAGCTGGCTGTATCCCCCGTATCTGTTGCCCTACAAAGGCTTCCCTGTCCCCCTCCCTTCAAAGGACATAATCGCCGCAGACCTCGCTGCCTTGAGTTGTGTTGGCCTCCTGGGATGTCAAATCCTGGAGGCCGGTCAGGGATGTTCTCTGACCCATCAGCTTGTAATTCCCAGTAGGGAAACTCAGGAGGCATTTATGGCCTGGCTGTAACTGAGGAAATCTTGTCGGGATGCCCGCTGGGTCTCGCCAGGCTCAGGTGTACGTGGGGCATCACTGAAAGTCTGGACGAGCTAAGAGACAGATCCTCGGGCCAGCCCCGCGCAGGGGAAAGACAGATGGACCTCAAGACCTGGGTGGGGCCCAGAAGTTCATGGGGCATGGAGTCACCGCAGAGTCAGTGCGTTCCTTCCGAGGTTTTCCATTCACCGTCCACGTGGCCTCAGGCGCATTGGTCAACCTCACTGGCCTCCGTTTGCTTATCTGGGAAATTGTAGTTACGCCCCCAGGATCGGTTGGAAAGATGAAATAAGATAGTCATAACGGTTGTGTAACGCTTCATGGGTCTTGTAAGCATTCTATCGTTTAACCGTCTGGGAAACTTGTGTAAGGTATATGGCGATCCTGTGATTCCCATTTTGGAGACGAAGAAACTGAGGAGCAGAGGGTTTCCCAAAGATCACCCTTGGTTCCTGACACATAGTAAAGGGCTCAAAAAGTGCTCTTACAAATCGGCGCCTTACCAGGGGCTTTTCTTTGCAGAGTTTGTGAAGATGATGTCTCGCTGAGGAGGTTCTGGAAGCCCCCGGTCTCTCCCCACCAGGCAGGCATGGACCCCGCACTTGTGGAAGACCAGTTCCCCTCGGGCCCGTCCAAGAGAGAGGGTGGGAGGGTGCGTGGCGACTGGCCTTGCATTGTGTGAGTCGAGGCTGGACCAAAAGTGATGGTTTTGCCCGGATGGCGGGCGGGGTGAGGGGGAACCTCTCTAGAATGAGATAAGAAGCTAGAAATGAGATCAGGACCAAGGTCAGCGCCACCCCACCAATTCCAGAGGTTAATGACATCTCGACTTCGTGTAACCCCCAATGCCTACACCCCAGCAGAGTCTCTTCCCTGGTGTCCTCTTGGGTCAGACTCTCAAAAAGCTCAGCCCATGGGCCACCCTTCCCCCTTCTTGTTTCAGCTGCTTCAGATTTCCTCGGTTTCTTTCTGTCGGTAAGAGGGAGGCATGACAATCTTGGGGCTATAAACAGGGTTCCTGGGAAGACCGGGCTTGGGAATGGTTCCATTAAAGAGGCTTCCAAAGTGAGCTTAGTCCGTTTTCTTGATTTCCTGGAAGCACAGTCTGGTGGTTGTTGTTTCTTTTCTCCCTCCCGCCTCCTACTTCGTGGTGTAAGATAACTTGGGTAAGATACTCAGGCCACTGAATTAAACCATAAATCTGGATTACGGAGGTTTAGGGCAAGCTGATCCCCGGGGAATTAATCCCCTGCAAAATGTCATCGCGCAAAAGAGAAAGAGGATGGGGGAATTCTCAAATCCTCAGCTCGGCCAGGTGGTGTGGAAATTGTTCCTAGAAGCTCCCTGCCCCGCCCTCCCCGTGTCTGTCTGCCCTGGGTGCTCAGGGCGATTGCCTCTGGTAGGTGGGGAGTCGGGCCAGCCCTCACACCCTACGCTGACCTGCACCCTGAAACCAGAGGGTCTTTTCCTCCTCACCTCTGCCCGTGGGCAGGATGCCCCAGTAACGCAAGGTCCCCAAAGTACAGGATTCGTGTCACACCCTTCCACCGAGTTTATTTCACTTTCGAAACCCACTAAGTAGTTGTATGCAATGGGTCATCGGGGCTCAATAGCCTCGCTTTATAGAATTTAAATTTAAAAGAGTGGAACCAGAATAATGTATTTCCTAACTTCTCGCTGT